ACGTCACCTTCACGTCATGTATTAACTGCAAATAACTTCAAATGTGTGCCTTGGCTAAGTTCGAATCCAAAACTTCACACTTTCATGAGTCTTTGCGTCCAATCTTATTACTAATTAAGTTGAAGGAGATCTTTAATCATTAATTGATAAATCAAATATATAATATTTAACTGCCCACACACACATATCAATAAATATATAATTTAAATATAATTATTTTATTTAACATTATTTTTATTTATCAATAAAATAAATTAATTTTTTATATAATACTTATTTTATATTATATTATAATTTTATATTATATCAATAAAATATTTTTATTTTTAAATAACAATAATTAGGTATGTTACTAGGTTATCAAAAAATAATTAAATATATCATTTAAATTATTATAATTATTAGTAATATCTAAATAATTTAAAATAATAAATTACATATAAATATATATATTATAAATCATATAATAAAATTTAAAACCTTAGCGCTGAAATTAGTGACAGAATTATGATGGAAAGGTTTGCGACAGAATTTTTTGTTGCAAATGCTATCACAAAATGATAATAAATGCTGCTGCCAGTGGCATTGGAGATCTCTAATAAGGAAGCAATGAGAAGGAATTAGTAATGAAAGGAAAACTTGTTTAACAGAAGCCATGTGATTTTCTTTATGAATAATTGAATGATCTCTATTGTAATGAGTATGTTAGGGGGTTCATTTACTGGCTCATCACCTAGATGAGATCTAGACCATCCAGATCATATTTAAAGCATTATTATATTATATTATTTTATTTTATATTTATTAAAATAAAAATTATAAAATAGTTTTAATAATTTTTTTATTTGTAATATGATCTAGATTTAATTTGTAGGGTATAATTTAATATTAAATTTTTATAATCACTATATATTGACTATCCAAATGTACTATGTATGATCTTTAAAAATTATAAAATTATTTTAATAAATTTTTTATTTTTAATCTGGTCTAGATTTAATTTAGGGGGTCTAATTTAATATTAAAATTTTTATAATTGCTATATATTAACTATCCAAGCATACTCTGTACAGTTTAATATATAGTAGTTATAAAATTTTAATATTAAATTGGACCCTCTAAATTAAGTCTAGACCAGACTAAAAATAAAAAATTTGTTAAAACTACTTTATAATTTTCAAAATTTTTATTTAATAAATATAAAATAAAATATTACTTTAAATCTAGACCATCCAGATCAAAATCTGGATGGTCCAGATCTCATCACACTGATGAGTGCCAGTGTGATGAGATGACTGAAGTCAGATCCATGTGTTATGGCTCTGCTTTATGGTTCGAAAGAGGAAGTGGAGGATACACTTAGTGTTTGGGGTGAAGAAAAGTAAAAGAACGTGTTTTGAGGGAAAGATTGACTTGCTAGCTAGACATTAAAATCCCATAAAACTATTGATTTATGACATTCAAATTAAACTAGTCTTCTGAACGTAAAAGACACGAAAGGCAATAATTTTTTACTTTTGATGATCGCATTATCTCATTAGCGACTTACATATGCAATTTTTTCTCTACATTAGAACAATGATGTTATAAATTGTGATTTATACGTAATAATTATTAATCTTTTTTGGAATATAACTTGTTTCTTGTAAATAGGTTTGGGTTTATGATATTCAATTTCATATTGTTATGCCAATATTCTTATAGCCTAGTGGCGTATAAGCTCCCCTGTAAGTTGGATGGGAATTTGTAAGTTTGATCCCACTTGTAACCTCAGATTATTAATTAATGCCTGCCCTTTAATTCAAAAAATAAAATTTAATATCATTGTACATTTTAAAAATTATGGGCCACTTTTTTTCTGCACGTGCACTTCATTTTTTATAAGACATTTTATTAAAAGAAAAGCCTGTCTAATTTTAAGTATTAGATGATCTTCAAGTTTCCATGATAAACTCATCTATATATATAATATATATAATACAAGAATAAAAAGCATATTCAACATGTTTTTTTAATGAGTTAACATGTACTCATACTGCTGGCAAAAAAAAAAAAACATGTAATAATTACTAAAATAAAAAAGTGACGTTATGGTTTTAATGAGTACACTTGATCACAATAAGTCAACGAGATTGGTGTTAACCTCTAGAATTTTATGTAATTTGAACACAATTTTCTAGGATTTTAATATATTTTGACACTTTTGTACATATTTTGGACTCCAAACTAAGAACAAATGTGCATCTTATATATATTTGGTTTTGCAGACATATAACTTTCTATTGATAGTTTTGGGAAAAATTTCTCCTATTTTTGTTTATGATTATATTGAAGGAATTTTCTAGTTCTTTATTGATGCTTTTGAAAAGTTTAAAGATGAAAAAATCAGATAAAAAGGTGAATAGCCACACCAAATGGGAAAAGTGTGGAGAACAAACCAAATATGAAAAAAAAAAATCAGAAAAAAGGTGAATAATCTTTAGCCTAGACTTGCGACTTTTGCCATTAACAACAAAACGAAACATTTTGATTATAAGCTGAAGTTTGGGGTTGGAATATATATATATATATTTGTTGTTGCTTTGAGTTGGAACTTTGACCTTGAGACACTTGAGGAGCTTGGTTTTGCTAGGGTTTTGGCTTTGAACGAGTTGAGCTCAAGAGATGAAACTTTGAAGATGCTTGAAGTTCTATTTCTTTTGCTCCTCTTGTTCTTCCCTTTCCTCTCTTGTACTTGTAATATGATATGAGTTTGAATATTTTGTATATTTGTAGCTTTTGGATGTTTATGAGTAGCTAAACACTTTTGTTCTATAATTATTTTGAATACTTTTATGGATTGATTAATACTAACGTTTTCCTATCACTTTTGTGATTGATTTTATATAAGTGTTTATTTTACTCTTCTCTTAATGCTTGTAAGTTATGAGCCATAATTTAGATATTTTATTCATTTGAGTGATGCTTGAGAAGGCTAGCTTAAGTATATAATTTGGATAAAATAATGCAAGAACTTGAAGTTTGCATGATAAATAGATGGCTTTGTTAATAAGATAGAGATATATTTTTAAACCTTTATAGCCACATTAGGGTTGAAACTTAAAAATTGGATTTGATTAATTGTAACAAAATATTTATTAAGCAATTAAGGAAATTAAAAACTTGATCATATTCATTGAGAGCGCTTATTCAAGTATTTTTAAAACCCTAAGTCAGCACTTATTTTTATTAAGAACATTTATAAGAGGATGTAATTTTTAGTGTTATACATTCAATACACGGGAAACAAATAATCCAAAGTCCCATTTCATTCTTGATTAGCCTAAGAATCATTTGCTTTTGTTTATTTTCTAGTTTTAATATAATTGAAGCAACCAATCTTGTCCAACTAATTGTACGTGCTTTGCTCAATTTAATTGAATTTGCAATTTCTTTTGCTTGATCATACTTTTAAGACAATGCAAGTCTATGTGAGAACGATACTGTATTCAAAATGCATTATTTATCATGACCTGTGCACTTTCATAGCATAGAACAATTGGATATTTAAATGAGATTGTTAACAAGTTCCTTTAATGAATTAATAAACTACACTGTACTGCAATTACAAGTTAAGTTATGGTTATAATTAGTCATCATGATGTTACTGAAGTTGGTTTAGGAACTTGGTTCATTTTATATATAACATTTTGTAGCATATAATTAATAGTGCCAATGGCTTAGTGGTTCAAATGCCCTAGTCACTTTTAAGTAATTATTTTGTTGGCTAATGGCTAGAGCTCCAGCTGGTGGTGGTCCAACCTATAGAACTCTCTAGTGGTGGCAACGACGATGGTTGGGAGTACTTTTAAATTTTAATGGAGGGTTTTTTGGTCATTTCTCAAGGAGGAGACTTGGATACTTAACCTTACATATTTAATGTACTTTTATCTAATTAAACTAAAACAAATGGATTTTAATGTTGTAGTAATATTAATAACAAGAGTTTATTATAGAATATATATATATATATATAAATTATCCACATATCTTAATTTGATTGGAAAAAAGAACCTTAAATATATATATATGGCTAAATATATAATTTTCCCATTCAATTTAATCCCTTGGTGATGCAAGGTAATTTCAGAGTTCCGTGGTCCTAATTTTAAATTATTTGTCTATTGTGATCCTTTACTAAAATATTTTTTAACACATTTTTTTGTAATTGTCATTAAATTAAATTTTTAAGATGTAACTTGTATTTTCCTACAATCATATACAGTGGAAGCAAATCCTCAAAAAATTATTGCATGGACTAGGTGCACCATATCAGCCATGTTCTACCTAATAAAATTGCACTATTTCAATTAAATAAAGTATCATGTGATTATTTATAATAAATTAATTTTTGTAACAGAGTGTTTCTTTAATTTCTTTTATTTTTTCTCTCCACCATTATCAATTGCAAAATCAATTTATATTTACAGCCATCTGACATGAATATTTTTACTGGAAAATATATAAATGATGTAATGCCTTGGGTCTATGTAAAAATTTCTTACAAATTCTCCCTTGGCATAATTGGAAAGAAGAATATAATCGCAATGCCGATGACCATTTTTTGGGGTATAGTTATTCAATTAAAATGACTATATTGTCAGTTAACTTTTTACTTATATTTTTATTGTTTAATATATTATATTGTCTAATTGAAAAGAAATTTAGAAATAGAAAAAATTTATATTTTTTTGTCAGCTAATTCAGAGTTTAGCGAGGAAAGAATAATTTCTCATTTTAATTTTGTCACTAAATTAAATTTTTCTAGGTGTGGATGGATGGACATTTTTGTATGTGTAAAGCTAAGATAATTTTTTTTTTGGATAAAATCTTTAGAAACTTAAATATATGGACCCCTACATATCATTAATCAAAAGGCTCACAATCCATGTAAGACAAGTACAACTCATGAAAATAAAAATGAACAGGTTTTACAAATTCACAACTCATAGTTAGTATTTAATGTTTAGAAGAACATATCATCATATCACCCTTTCTCACAAGGTATTACATATATCCAACATTTTCTTTAGGGATAGTCGAGGAATGAAGGATAGACAACAACACCAATTGCAAAATAGATTTAATATTAAATTTTTTTAACTTGACTTCTTTGCATAAATAGGTCCTTGATCTTGTTCAATGACGCTACAACATCTAACATATTGCAACGTCCTGTTGGAAAATCAGAGCAGCAAGTCAAGGCCAATTTAAATATAGTGGATGTAGTTGTCAAAATATTACCAATATATTGTTCATCTCCTTGTAATAAATTGGAATCCATGACTTGAATCAATGCATGTGACATTGATTCACTTATCCAAGTCTTTAAGCTTAATCCATCGACAAACATACCTTCTGTTGGCTTTTTCCTTGTGAACACTTCCATTAGTATTATTCCATAGCTATACACATCAACTTTTGTTGACACAATTCCAGTAGATCCATATTCTGCATATGATTTAATTTAATTCAACCAAAGTCAAATATCAAGTAACTTATATATGATATAACAAGTAAAATAATAACTAACTAATAGCACAAATTCCTTTACATTTACTGAAGCATTCTTTAGAATTTCTTGGATATATATATATATATATAATAGTTTTGAAATAACAACCAAACAGTACTTTAAATGCATGGTTTTTAGAACATAAAAACTGTCAGAAAACATTCTCATCAAATACAATATATGGGATATATTTTTGACAGGAATATATATCTCAAATTGTTGTATATGCTATATTAAAACTACTTACTACATTGATGAACATGAGCCCACATACAATTTTTTTTTTTGGCCGAACACAATGACATACATTAAAACACACCATCACATTCAAGTTTGAAAGTAAAACATAGAATTCAATATAAGTATACTAAATTAGTTAAAAAAAGAATAGTTCTTTTTTAATATAAAAAATCCATCAAAATTGTAAGGAAATAACCAATAAAAGTTGTATATAAGAATTAGGGAAATTAGATTCAATTGCAATTATTTTACACTGATAACTTTAATAATGTGCTGTAGTTTGTCAATTCAACTTCTCATGTATAAAAACATAATGTTTGTAAACAAGTGCATCATTTCACATAAATAATAAAAATTTATTTTTTCTCTAATTTCATTCAATTTTTGTTAGTCTGGAAAATGAGAGACAATATATGTATCTTACTGTAGTAACTCCAATTTAAATGGTGCAAAAGAAGAATAATAAAGATTTAAGTTGATTACCTGGTGCCATATAACCGATTGTAGCTATTGTCTCAGTGTGCGTCTTAGATTTCCCTTTATCTAGAAATTTGGCAATTCCAAAGTCACTCACATGGGCAACCATATTATCATCCAACAAAATGTTACTTGGTTTCAAATCACAATGGACTACTGGTGTTGACAAGTCATGATGAAGATATTCTAAAGCATATGCTACATTTATCATTATATTCAGCCTTTGTAGAAAATCCAAATGATTGTTATCAAAATATAACCATTTTTCAAGGCTTCCATTAGGAATAAACTCCATTATCAAACACTTCAAATCAGCATTGGAACAACTACTAATGATCTTCACTAGATTTCGATGGCGCAAATTACGCATTGCGTTGCATTCTACCTCAAAGCTCCTTGACAATGCTTCTGAGTCAAAATTGAATATTTTAACAGCAACCATTATTCCACTTGAAAGTTTTCCTTTGAACACAGAACCAAAACTTCCCTTTCCAAGTAAGTTACTCTCATCAAATCTATGAGTTGCATCCAAAATTTCAAAATAAGAAATCTTTCTTGGCATTCCTAAAGTAGATAAAACTTTTCTAATGGTATGCCTAGAATTTATTTGCTTTTGTTGAAAGATCACAATGCCTGTAGCAATTAAAGCTATGGACAAAACCATTGGCAATACACATTTCAACAAAATCAATTTTTCCATTGACCTTTTACGTGTTCCTTTTTTGCATGGAGACACTTGCATTTGTGGCTCACCACAAAGTGCTTTATTCATCATGAAAGATTCAAATGTTAAAATTTTGAAGACTCCGCCACTTGGAATCTCACCCTGTAGTTCATTAAAAGAGAGATTGATGTACACAAGGGATATAAGTGACTCTATAGATTTAGGAATCTCACCAGATAGTTGATTTTGGGAAAAGTCTAACTTCACTAAGCTTAGAGAATTCCCAAGTGATTCAGGAATCTTCCCATGCAGTTTGTTATGTGCCAATGAGAGAATTTGCAAATTTTGCAAGCCACCTATGGCTGATGGAATGATGCCTGATATACAATTTCTTGACAAATCTAATGATACAAGTGCTATTAAGTTGCCAATCTTGAATGATAGATTTCCAACTAAAACATTGGAAGATAGGTTTACTTCCAATATACCAATTAAATTCCAAAAGGAAGAAGGTATATCAGAAATCAACTCATTGGAGTCCAAGTAAAGTTTTTGCAGGGACATAAGATTTCCAAAGCAAGGCGGAATTGCTCCAGAAAACTTGTTTCGAGATAAATATAGATAGGCAAGTCTTCTAATTTGACAAAGCTCATCAACAATCAAGCCACCAAGTTCATTGCCTTTAAGATTCAAATCCTGAAGAGCCTGTATGTTGCTAATTGTTTTTGGTATTGATCCACTTAAAAAATTTTCAGCCAATGATAGTTGGAACAAGTTAGATAGATTCCCAATTTCTGATGGTATGTTACCATTAATCCTGCATGAGTCTACAATTAGCACCTGTAGAGAATTAGACAAGTTTCCAATGGACTTGGGAAGTTTCATATGCAGTGGATTCTTTGAGAGAATCAAACTTTTCAAATGTCTACAATTTGACATTGAATTGAAAAGGCCAGTTTTAGAATCAGAACTATCTATAATGGTAAAATTATTATTACTCACTGAAAGGGTTTCTAAGTATCTTAAATTCCCAAGTGTGTTTGGTAAAACCCCTTCAAAATTATTTTCCTCCAATTCTAGAGTGGTTAGCTTAGAAGCATTAGATATAGTATTTGGGATTTTTCCAGAAAGTTTGTTGCCCCATAAATAAAGCATTTGTAGATTAGAAAGGCCAAATCCAAATTTTGATGGAAGACTTCCTGAGAGAAAATTGTTTGCTAGAGACAGGACCTCCAAAGTTGACATGTTGAAAATTTCTGATGGAATAGACCCTCTCAATTTGTTTTGAGATAATTGTAATATCTCAAGCTGTTGAAGATTACCAATTTCCATAGGTATTGATCCTATAATACAAATATTAATTAAAGTATCAATGATAGCTAATATTAAAATATAAAGAAAATTATAAATGTCTAACTACTTAGATTTACCCACTACTTAGACATAAAATTTTGGACAAATTTGTGATGGATTTGGGCATTTGCAACAAACTTATAATTATGCTTTGATCCGTTACTAATTTAGTGGGCAGAATTTTGTGATATAATTTCACATTTTTTATGTCTAAAATAAATGCTCTTGTAGGTATTGTTTTTAGTGGTGGATGATAAGTTTTTAGTTCGCTAGCCTGAGCTTCTAAAATTATTTTTAATTTATACTATTACAAACCTAAATAGTCAGTTACATCATGGTTTTAACAGTTGGTCCATACTAGCCGATTGGATGTGAACTAGCCTGTGGTCAAGTCTAGCATAAATCATTAAATCTTATGTGTAGTGAACTAGTCAAAAATTTATCAATAAATTTGGGGATCATGAAAAACATGTTGGTTGGTTGATTCACCGGTTCAAGCATTAGATCTAAATAGAAAAAGAATAGACAAGGAGAGGTTCAGAGAGAAGTTGAAAATGATAAGGGGAATGAACATGCATGATTCAAAGAAAAAAATTAAGAAAAGAAGTCATTATAAAGTATAAAATATCTCATTAAAAGAAAATGACGGTATGAAAATGTACCTTCTAAATCATTGCTATCAAGATACAAGTGTTGAAGCATAGTCAAGTTTCCAATGCCTCCTGGTATGGGCCCAGATAGCTGATTAACCGTTAGGCTGATCATCCTCAGATTTGCAAGACTTATAATTTCACTGGGAATTTTTCCTACAAATAGAAAAAAAAAATTAACAAAGCATCATTGTAAGTAAAAAGAGCAACACTTAAATTTGTGGTAACGCATACTTTCTATGTTATTTGAAGTTATTTTGTGTTTTAAAGTTAGTGGCCTAAATGAAAATAAGATTATATATATCTAAAGCATGAATGTCCTCATATATAGATTTATATATTCAAAAGATGAGCAAACACTTAAAATCATGAATAAAATTATGATATATATAGTATATAATTTTTGTTCTATGTTTTGAAAACAATTTAGTCTATATTAGCCTAGTTTTTTACTTTTATTTTGATGAATTATATTGCTTGATAAATTAACAAGTTTAATAAGGGGTGGCAGTTTTTTTTAACTTTTCATAAAAAAATTTACTTTTTAAATAATAAGAAGCTTGTTTAAATGATAATAAAAGATAATTCCCATTAATTATATATGTTTTTGAATTGCTACGTACCAATCCCAAAGCATAATGTGTAGTTAAAATATATTTTTAATTAAGAAATTTAAGTTGGTGAATATTTGATATAGTCTGTTAAATTTTGTAGTACAAGTTGTGAAAGCTGTGCGTCGTAATCTAAATAATAAAAAAAAAAAGTCAATTTTCCAATTCCTTGAGCATACATATATATATATATTCACCATACCTGTTTAAGGTTAATTAATGCTCAGAAACTTATTATCATCATGTATGTTTATAAATTTTGGATTTAAGAGATTCTCTATATTTACTGTCAAGAAATAATTTCTTTTGCAATGTGGTAAAAAAAACTCTACTTTGATTGCTCATGCATAAAATATCATATTAACGGAAAATTAAGCAGAGCTAGCTTTTAATTTGATAAAAGTATTTATATACCTTTTAAGTTATTGTTGTCCAGAAATAATTCTTCAAGCCTAGTGAACTTGCCAATGCCTCTTGGTATGTGACCAGACAATTGATTAAAACTTAAGTATATGCTATTCAAATTTGTGAGATTGCTTATTTCATTCGGAATATTTCCTGCAATATTGCAACACAATAAAATCACAATGCTGTGAATTTTGTTGCATAAAATTAAACATTCTAATTTTGCTCCTCTCACCTCCCACAATTCTAGTTTTATCTTTTGGAAACAAATTTCATATAGTCTGTTGAGTTTATACACGCACACACACATACATGGTTTAAAAATTTTACAAAGAAGAATTTTAATTTAAAAACATAAAATATAATGAAATCCCAAGAATTTATTTTATGATTTTTAAGAATTCTTGTAAAAAGAAGTTATAAATTAAAGTTGGAGATTTAATTTGGGGACCATTTGTTTGATCTTCCTTTTACGAGATGATCAAATTTTTTTTATAAAAAATTATTTTGCAAAATTTTATTATATTTGTTTAAAATTTTAAAGATAATCAAAATATAAAAAAGACATATTTCTAAGTTCTGACTATTTTGAAAAGCTATTTTGAATAGTTTTTGAAAAGGAAAAATTTTATATACTCAGCTTTATATGTTATGGTACTTGTTTCTAATTAAATCAAAATATGCATATCACTTATAAATTATTTATTCTACAATAATTTTTTGTTATTAATATTACTAACACATTAAATTTCACTTGTTTTAATTTGATTGGATGCAAGTACTATACATTAAGTATATAAGACTAAGTATCTAAGTCTTGCCCTTTTAAAATAACTAAATAATAATTTTTTTTACCAATAGAGATCCATGAAAATATCATAAAATATAAAAATAACTAAATAATAATAAATTTTCATTACTATAGCTAAACATAAAATAATATATGCTTTTATAAAATCTCTACAACATATATCTCTTTTTTTTAAAAAAAATCTAAATGATGTAAAACTCACTGATTTTTCAATCACAAATAAATTGGTCCTTGATTTATTTTGTAGTATAAACTTAATGAAAATATGTTGTCTCCTAAATAAAACCATTGAAATCATCAACTTGACATATATTTGAATGGATGCTTTTCAAAAATTATGATCACTCAAAAAAGTTGCTTCTAATGATTCCCGTTAAAAAGTAAAGGAAAAATTATGTATGAGTCTCATAGAGCAGATTTATTTACAAATAAGTCTCGTAAAATTAAAAAATCATAGCTAGGTTCCTTGGGACTTGAGTATAATTTGAAAATAAGGTGCAAAGATAATAATGTCCTTATTAAAAATACATTACATCAATCAAGTATTTCACAATTATATCATCAATAATTTGCAACTATCACTATAACTTTTTACAACTATAATTTTACATATCAAATAATTAAACTAATCATGCATTACAAGTTTAATATAAATTTATACAACTACCTCATCAATAATTTACAACTATTACATCAACATTATACAACTATAACTTCATAAATCTGTACATTACTAATAAAGTTTAATATTAATTGTTTACAAATATTTCATCTATAATTCACAACTATTACTTTAACTTTTTACAACTGTAACTTCATATATTTAATAATTAAACTGATTATACATTACAAGTAAAGGTAGTATTATCAGTGCATTTTAATTTCAAATTACAATCAGATTCCAAAGGACTTGGCTCTAGTTTCTAAATTACGTGTGACTTATTTGTAAATAAGTATGCTTCACATGACCTATACATAATTGTCCCAAAAAAAAAAAGCAAGCAATAGTAAAAAATTATGATTCGTTAAAAATGTACCTTGGAGGCTATTGCTTGTAAGATATAAATTTTCAAGCATGAACAAGTTTCCGATGCTTGGTATCTGCCCTGACAACTTATTCATACCCATGTACATATTTTTCAGATTTGTAAGCTTATTCATTTCTTTGGGAATATGTCCTGCAATATGGCAAAAAAAAAAAATAACCTTGTATTTTTTTCGTGAGTGCTTATATAAAAAATAGTATCCAATGAAAGAGTAAGACATATAATTTTGGGAATACATTATTGTTTTATCTCATACACATTCAATAATTTGATCTCTAGTCAATATTACCAACCGCATAATATACAGATATACATGCATCAACTTATGACAATTGAAAACTACAAAAGGAATTTCAAAAATTGTAGCGTAAAAAAAAAGTGCCATGTTGAAAGAGAATTCCCAATAACATTTAATTAAATTGTCTACTTAAACAAAAATATCTTTTGTCAGAGAGAACTCATTCAAGGCATAATTTTTGAAGAGTAGTCAAATTTGTTCTAGGGATGATGGCTTAATTATAGAGGTATAGTTAATTTGTTTCATATAATTGTAAAATGTTTGAGAATTTTCGGTTCAAGGACTAACTTTGAAAAGACATAGTAAATTGCAAGCCCCAAGTTAGATTGACATCACATATAAGATTGATATAAACAATTACAAAAAAATGATAAATTCATCAATTTTGAAATAGAATAAATATTTATATCATCACATATATATTATACAAGACATACCTTCTAAGAAGTTGACAGACAAAGAAATGTGTTCAAGTGATGATAAGTTAGAGATAGTTGGAGGTATACTTCCTGAAAGCATGTTTCTTGAAATGAATAAAACTTTCAGGTGTTGAAGTCTTCCAATATCTAATGGAATAGATCCATTGATAGAATTAGACTTCAAATCCAAGGTCACCAACTTAGACAAATTGCATATGCTTGGAGGAATGAGACCTCCAAAACTATTATTGCCAAGACTCAAGTGTTGAAGCATAAACAAGCTTCCAATCCAAGTCGGAATTTCTCCACTAAGTGCATTATAACTCAAGTTTAGAATTTCCAATTTGCGCAATTGAAGCAACTCTTTTGGCAGCCCACCATGAAAGTTATTGCTTTGTAGTTCAAGTTTTTCTAGGAAGGATAGATTTCCAATTTGTGATGGTAAGGTGCCTTCAAGATCCATCTCAGGAAGACTCAGGATTCTCACTTTCTCATGGTTAGAATCACATGTGACTCCAAACCAGTTGCAAAAGGAAGATGATGGGTTGGACCAATTTTTCAAGTGATTGTACGGGTCCCTAATAGAAGATTTGAAAGCAAGAAGTGTCAATCCATCGAGAGTAAAATTGGAATGACATAAAGATGGGCAAACCATGAGACAGAGCATGGAGAAAATGGAGAAGGAGAAATAAAAGAAAAGATTTCCCATGTTGGATAGGCTTAGAGCTTCTTAGGATGAAGAGAAAGGAGAAGAAAACTTCACTATATATAATCATTGAGAATGATTGACTGACCAGCTTGGCAATAAGAGTAAGGATAATAATGCAATTAATTGTGATAACCTATAATAGCTAATTATAATGAACAAAATAATCTGCAAAAACTTGTTTGAGATGGAAAATAATTAAGAAATTTTAAATACCATATGTGGTCAGACTTTTAGCGGCAACTTTTTATAATCATAGTTGAAAGTCTCTCTTTTTTTCTTCTTAGTAGCTTCACAAGGAGACGAAAGCTTTGATCGGCATTGAAATAAGAGTAATGATATTGGTGAATTTACTTGACCAATATTGGTCTAAAATAGCTAATTATAATTAACAAAATAGTATACAAAAGCTATTTTGCAATGGAGAAATATAATAGGAAATGTTACAATATTGGGGAATTTACTTGACCCAAGACTTTAAAAGGTAGAGCCACTCAAATTCTCCTATTATAAAATTTGCACCGTTGATTTAATGCTAATATATGTTGCAAATTTCAACCGCATGCCTATGAAAAATGTTAATCATAAGCAAAGATCAAATACGAAATGGATTATTGTTAAAATGAAAATTTAGACTTGTTTTTTTTCTTTTTAATGATGACTTGTTAATGATCCTTATTAGATAATAACATTGTTCACAAGTCCTTACATATGATTCTCTCTGTTCTTTTTATTAACTACACTTGAGATTATAATAAGTTGGCACCTAATTAGTATTGAAGAATCCAAGATTTTAAATAAATTATAAAACAAAAGCCTATCAAAAGCTTGACTTAGAAATTTTACCCAAAAAAAAAAAACCTTGACTTAGTCAACCGAGAAATTAATAAGAAGATAACTTGTGGAAAAATAGAAAGGCAATTGTGAGCTGCATTCATCAATGAAATTTCGCATTGGAAAAGGAATGGTCATGGGGTCAGCAATAATAATGTTGTTTAGAATTTCTCTTTTTTGAGGAAAACCTGTCTCTATTTCAAAATTTATCTTTGCCACAAAGCATTGTGGTTGATTACTGTTTAAGAGATCACATCAATTAATAAAATTATTAAATTTTCATATTTTTATAAACAAAGTGTATAGTGAAATGACACTTGGATCCTAAAATCCTAAAAGATCAACTAAAATATAGTTAAATTTATAAAATTTTAATGAAATATGATTTTAGTGAAGTTGTGTATCAATATTTCTCATTTTCATCCATACGTTTTTGCCATAATTTTCAAGGTCAAGAAAAAAAGACAAAAGTTGAAAGCAGCTAATTGTTAGCCTAAAAAAATTTTAAAAATGAAAAAAAATGTAAAATATTTAAATTCTTACCTTGAATCAAATATTAGCTTTTTCTTTTGTTTCAACCATTACAGTTAAATTACTAATGGAGACTTGTTAAAAAATTTAACATGCACACATTTTTATATTTTAATATGCAAATGGTTATTTGTTAAGTTTGTAAAGGAGACTTGTCATTTTACAAATAGTTAATTATTAAATTAATAACAAAGACTTGTTAAAAAAATTTAAAATGCACTAGTAATGACAAGTCCTTATTAGTAATTTAACAAGTAACCATTAATGAAATGACAAGTTCTCATTTACTAACTTTGCCAATTTTCCTTAATAATTTGACAATAAAATATAACTTTGGATCCTTATATTTTGCTCAAGTTTTGCTATAGGTTCTTGCAAGATGATCTATAACACCAGAAAAATGCATAAGGATCTTGAATATTGAAAAAAGTGTAGAGACCTATAGCAAAATTCAAGTAAAATACAAGACCCAAAGTTATATTTTTCCTAATTTGAAAAGTAAATTTTACTAAAATAAAAAGTTTGTGGATATTAATTGGTCACCTAAACTTAGTTGTTAATGTACCTTTAAGTGATATATTGTGTGTTAGTGGGACTTGGATGTAATTCTCCATATTAATTTTCTTAACAAGATACAGTATTTTAATATGCAATCATTTGTGAGATGAGAAATCTCTTTTACTAACTTTGATAATTTTCCTTAATAATTTAAAAATTAAACTTTTACTGAAAGAACAAGTTCGCACAAACTTTTGGCAAGTAAACTTTTGATTTAAAAAAAGCAAGTAAATATTTATAAAAATGGTGCATATTAAATTTTTTAATGAGTCCTCATCAGTAATTTAACTAATAATTATTTGTGAAATGACGAGTAATCATTAAACTCTTGATACATAGTGGTTGTGAAAATAAAAATAAACTTGATAATATATACAATTTTATGCAATGTATAACATAAAGTGTTGGTAGCTTAGTGGTTATCAATTATTTTGGTTAAGATCCTTCAAAAAAAAAAACATGAGGCAATTTCGTTTTTTATGACAAATTTTAATTACTTTTAGATCCGTTGGTCCTGTAGAACAATTTCATATTCTTTTGGTCCTTTTTGGCAATAGATTTGCTCTAGAGGTCCTCAACCACAATTTTTTCTATTATAAAAATACAATTAATAATTATGTTTTATTTGGTATTACTATAAATGACTATATAAATATATTAGTTTAGATATTTGCTTAACTGAAAGTATATTTTTAATTCTTTTCATGTGTGTGTATATATGCACGTATCATATATGTAATGTATCCAATAATTTCTAAAAACAAAAATATTGACATATCGAATATTTGATTCACGTATCGCGTATGTGCATCATAGTTCATAGAGGGAGAATATTGATGAATAACTCCGAAAGGAATTTAACATCTTACCCTTATTTTGAACAAGTAAACATCAACAAATTGACAATTAAAGTTATTATTTTAATAAATATCTAATTTATCCAGAATCCTAGTTAGATACTAATTTTTTTCATAAATCCTTTATTGATATTCTTGGTTGGTTTTTTATTGATACCACTACAAAAAAATGACTTTTAGCAGTGACACTAAAAAGTCACCGTTGATTCTCAACTTTCAACAGCGACAGTAAAAGTCGCCGCTAAAAGTGTGACTTTCTGTGGTGACAAGATATAGTCGCCACTGATTGTCAGACTTTCAGCGGTGACAAGTGCATGTCGCACTTGTTGCCTCAGAAAGTCACAATTTCAGCAACGACTTTTATTGTGACCGTTGAAAGTTGAGAATTAGCAGCGACTTTTTAGTGTTACCGTTTATTGTCAACATATTTTAAATAGGGATAAAGTTGGAATTCTATTTATTTTAAGATAATTTAATTAGTTAACTATCATTCTTTGATTTAGTAAAGTAGTTAAAAAAATCTTATAATAGGAACTAAAAGGAGTATAGTTCATTCATGTGGTCAAAAGAAAATAAAATTTCAATTAACTTTCATTCTTTATTATAGAAGAAGTAAAAAACGCCTTATAATAGGGGATTGAAGGAAGTATACACTAAAACAAAAACGGCGACTGTGTTTCTCACCCCCAAAAACCATTAGCAACTAGACTTTTGGTGATGACATTTTTTTACCACTAAAAACCTTTAGCAATGACTTTTGGCGGCGACTTTAAAAGTCATTTAAAAAAAATAAAAGAGGCATCTCATGCCACATCACCTGACACGTTGTGCCACATCACCTACCACATATGCACCTCCTCATACTACAGCACATGCCACATCACCCCGCCATGCACCTGCAAGTATTATATGTGAAATTAAATATATATTATTTAACTAAATACACATATATCAAATAATATATTATTAGAAATATATACAAATATATTATATTTTATTATCATTTATTAATATGAGTGTTTATATATATATATATTTCTTAAGAAAATATTATTTTTTATAGCAAATATTATTTTTGTTAGGAAAATGAACTTAAAATGAAATAATTTTTAAATATTAAATAATTTTGTTATAAACATTTTAACCAATTTTTAAATTTTATTTTATTTTTTAAAAAATAATTAGGTATATAATTTATTTATAAGTATGTATTATATTAGTTTAATTTAAATATATATATTTTACTTTTCTCCATATTTTTCTCAAAAATTAATAAATAAATGATTAAAATTATATCTTTTTACAAGTTAAATGCTTCCTCTTCTTTTATTAAAAATAATTTTATCTACAATTTTTCAATTATCTTAAAAAAATTAATAAAAAATTTATTTTAATCTTATAAATTTTTTAATAGTCATTTTGAACAATTATTCTTTATTATCTTTAAGATAGGAAACGAGTGGACATGTGATAAACTAAAAGTAGATGCTAAACAAAAAAAATCCAAATTCAAAATCGAAGTGGATATTTCATGATCAAAATAGAAAAAATTTTATCTTAACTCGATCTAGATTAGTTTGGACTTTCTTTAAAGTATCCTTAACAAATTCAATCTCAAGATAATAGAAAAACTTTCTAATAACTTTGTAATTTAAAATAATCATCAAATATGGAGCATTTTTTTTAATAACCATGTGTTAGTGAAAAGTAGAGCCCAATAGATGGAGTAGACACCATGTATATACCAAGCCAAGTATCAACTGTACAATATATCAAGTAGTTTACAATGCCATTTGCATCTTACAATACCTATACAACTTTAACATTCTAATGCTATTTATGTATAACTTAGCCTAATTATAATTTAAAGAAATTTTTTGAAATAATTCATAAAAAAATTATAAAAACTAATTCATTTATAATTTATATATAACTTAGCTTGATTATATATACTAGCTTAATAAGATCATTATTAAAAAATAATCCACAAGAAATTTTTTAAATGTAATTATTAAAATAAGATCATTATTAAAATACTAGCTGAACAAGAGCATTATTTTTAAAAGTAATAATTATTGATCTTATATATAATTTATTTTTCATTCTACATATAAATACCTTTAGTGGCAACAATTTTTTTTAGAAAAAGTAATTATGTGAATTAATTTTTATAAAAATATTTTTTAAATTTTTTATGAAAATACTTTTGGTGGCGACAACCTA